TTATATACAGGTCAAAACAAATAACCCTTTTTCAACAGACGAATCAATGTACTTACATGAATTTAAATTATTTGTGTCATAGTTTTTTGAACACCCATTATCGTCGATTGTATTGACTGATGATGAATCATTGTGATTGAGTAACTTGGATCTGGCTTGGTGTTGTTGACGTAACTTTAAACCATTCAATAGTTGACCATAGTAACCAACTAATTTTAATCGTTTTTGAGTTTTAAATATATTAACCTGTCATTGAAAAGAAAAAGATTTATAACGAAGTTATAAAGCTAAAAGATAAAAGATGAAATTAAGTTTTTCGTCAAACAACCTATTAGGATTCTAACCAGAATAATGAAAACAGTAAGTGATATTTTCTAGTGATGTTATTAAACTTAACTTAAAAGAAAGGTCTATCTATGTAGTAATGGGCATACATTTACTGGATAATAATTACGTCTGTAATACCTTACATATATGCAAAAGACTGATAATGGATCTAGGTGTAAGTAATTTGATTAGTATTTATTCAAAAGTATTTTCAAAAAATTTCTTAGGTATGAAAGAACCATTAAATTGGTTATACTAAACTTAGGTACACAGTACTGAGTAAATATGGTAAATCAGTTGATACAACTGTGGACTTTTATTGAATGAAATGAATAACTTATTTTTACCCAGATTCCACGGCTGCCAACACTGATATGTTACGCTGACAAGCATAGGATTAGGTTGAAAGATACCTAAGGGTGTTTAAGTCAAATTATGTCATTAGTCTATGAAATAATTCATGATTGAATTGAATTGCATCAGAATATCGAAAGTTTCTATTTAAAATAATTTCAATAGTCGTAATTCATATATATGATAGAGTAAGGCCTTAAAGATATCTAATGTATCTAACTTGAGTAATTACAACTAATCAAATAACGGAATATTCTATCATGTAAATCCTATTGAAACAACAGATAATTTGCATAATATCAATCAAAAGTTACCATTTCTTCTGCATTCTTCATTAATGCATGATGATATGCTTCAATTGTTTCCTTCGATGGTTCAGCAACAGAAATGACTGGTCTACTACATAAAATACCATGAATAAAACCCTTCGATAATAGTAAAACAACTTCTTCAAAACTTAATCGTACAGGTAATCGATCTGGTTTCTTTGATTTATTATGATGATATGCTTTGAATAAATCCAATGGTAATGAAGCACGACCAATAATCCGATAATTACGGCGTAACCAAATAACAGCTTTACAGAATAATAATAATAAAAGAAAATAACAATAATATAAATCGGAATATAAACAAGTTGTGGAAAAGATAAATTCATGAAGTCAATAATTTTATCAATAATACAGTATAAACAACAAAATAGAAAAAACAAACAAACGAATTGTAAGGAAATGGTAGTACACTAATAAGCAAGAAAAAAAAGGCATGAACAAAGCACTTTATACGTAAATAGACTTTTTTTAGTAAAAAAATACACACGAGCAGACAAATAAGCATTGGATATTTAAAGAAAAAAAACTTAAGCTAAATATATCCCATTAAATAGTGAACTTAGGAAATATATGTATGTATTTTGTATTTACTATAAGGTAGTGCATTCTATTACGAAACAACAACAACAATAATATATATATATATATATATATATATATATATATATATATATATATATATATATATATATATGTAACATCGGTGAAAATATTCTTAAAAGCATGAAGAATACACACCAACAACAAAAATATACACACCATTTCATTAAAAAGTCACTCGACTTCTATAAATATTAATATACAGGTTAGTGATAAATTTCTTCCAATCACACGACTGTTAGAGAAATTTAATAACTAAAAATTATTAAATAAATAATCAATGAATATGACGGATTTACCTCCGAAATAGACAATTCTAACTCTACGTCTTATTTGATATAATTTTGAATATGAATACTTATGTGTTATTTATTCAATGGATAGTAATCAACATAATCCTATTTTATTTTAGTAATAATATAATTCTAGTAATCAGGCTAGAAATATTCAACCTATTTTCAAATTTAATCATTTCAACAATAAGCTAATAGTTGACTTTTTAAAATGTGATATGCAAGAGAAAATAGTTAGAAAGAGAAAGTCGGAGGATTGTCGTAAAACTATATCAAATAAATTCATTATATTATCGTAATACAAAATTCATGCGTTAAATCTTTAATCATATAAAGTATTTGTGATATATGGTGGATAAAGTAGACTCTCAATTAATAAGAATATAATTTATATTAGTCAAACATTTACACATAGTTAATGTCTCTAGTTAGATTGTGAGACAACTGAAAAATATATATTGGTGGTATATAACCACTATATATTACTGAATTACATTCACATCTTTTATATACGTATTAAGTTGATTACATCGATAATACATGAAAGCTGAAAATAACACTAATTATTTCATCCAAGTAAATGATAAAGCTATAAGCGCAATGGATGAATAATTATTGTTAATGAAAACAAGTCAAGTCATAAATTAAAACAATCGGTATCATAAAATCAAATAAAAGGTACACTAAATAATAAATTCCAAATATATTTTGTATATAATTGAAATTATTATTATAGTGATATAGTCCGGTGGCCTGGTGAAACTTGTATCCTCATTTATTTATTTAAACATATAAACATTGGTACAAGGAAGCACCAAATAGATATGCGCCACATAAATCATTCGATTTGTGTAAGGGCTGGGATACTGTCCGGGTGCCCAAACCGAAACAGGTGGCTTTCAAAGGGGGGCTATACTCAGAGCCTTCGACTTAAATGTCTAATCCAAAAGGCAGTGGAATAAAGTCAGGAGATGCAGTCATCATTTTGCCAAATGTGCATTGATTGTCAAAAATCATCCTGTTCGATTTGTGTTTTAATTACACTACTTAAGCATTTCAATAAAAATGCTTCTAGAAAATGTTTATAACTTATCATGAATCTGATGACTAAAGCATTAAAGAAGTACCACTATGGTGATTTGCACAATTTCTTCAATATCATCTGTCCTTTGGAGAAATGAAAGATGGTTACTAGAGAATTCATGCATCAAATATATTTATCGATGGAGAAAGATGTGATGAGAGCATAAATTATGGATAAACATATAAAAATAGTAGTAAATGAATGTTCAAAAACTTTTAACTCATACTTTTCGAATACTCATAAGTTAAATATCCATGAAATGAAAATTTTGCTGTCATATTGCATATTTTGTGCTGAGAATGCTTTACTGTAGTTGGACATTTGCAATGAAATAAAACGAGCACTATTATTATCTTTATCATGAGTATAGCTGTAGTTCTGGGTCATTTTAAAACATTCAACATACGCTTACTGAAGCAGAAAATAAATATGAAAGTTTATTTTTTAAAATAAATGCTGTACAATGCGACTAACCTTCGGCAGTCCATACTAGGAATTCACCAAAAGGAGTTAAATTGACACATTCCATATAATGCGATTGTGAATCTGATTTGAATGGTTGATTTGACTGAGATAGGTTGTTTTTACACAAAGAGAAAATAAATTAAATGACTTGGTGTTATTTAATGTGTTAAAAACTTACAAAGTTGAATCTAAGTAACTGAGTTATATTGAATTTTATTATATATATATATATATATATATATATATATATATATATATATATATATTCTATGATAGCTATTCTGTAATGGATTGATATCCGTTGAAGAACTATTGGAAACTAAAATGCACTGAACACAACTTTTACATTCTAGTTTGATACTGTGTACAACCACCGCATATACCTAAAACCTAACACAATATTCAAATCAGGACGTCTAAATCTCATAGCATACATGTTGTAAAGTTATGTGAATTAGTGGGGACAGTTCTTTCGTAACTGATAACAGTCTCATTCTTGATATTTTCGAGCAATACTGTACACTGGATCTGCTTAGAGTTTTGGAAATCCACCTTGGAGTTAATCACTAGGGTTAGTTGATTATTTAATTTAACAAATTCATAGAACCTAAACCAATGAAAAAATAGTTTTAGTCAAATTGACAAACAACAGCATCATATTTTTAGATTATATTCCCAATGAATTGGATGAATACCCATAGACCACTTACCAACACAAGGTAAGTATATGAAGAACAATGATTGTTTACTCGATTACATTTAAACATTGATCTGATCAGGTGGAGAAATACCTTTGGTTATGTATTGAACAAAATAATATGCTAAACAGTGTTATGCTTTGTAGAGATATCATCTTATGAAAACCAACTATTTTATGTATATATATACCAACATAGGTTGATCAATATTTTATGAAAAGTATGCCAGCTACATATTAAGAACGTCACTTGATCAGTATCGATAAGTAAATCTGTCTTGATAGCACCTTTGATCACAAGTTATACAAATGCGTATGGTGGATTCTACAGTTCAATGTCATAGACTGATCACCTTTTCGTTTTTCCCACCCTATCCCAGTGTCGTTAGGTGGTTATACCATGAGCTTAGTGTTGATGTTCACACAGAGACTCAAGTACAATACCTTTCACTACAAATACTAATGAATTATATACTGATCTACTGTGTCTAGATAATAACTTGGTTCTACTGCTATCACCGATGCAACTTTACTGAAATTTGTATGTTACTTATTTTTAGACATATTCATATGTTAACTAAGTATACGGTTAATAACTACATACGTACAAGAAACGAGATCTGAAAATAGAATCAATTACTAGCTAGAAAACCTTTGACATGTTATACATTTATTTCCAGTACTAGATTTATAAAGATATCCTAGGGTGTACATAAGATATTAAAGCGTGATAAATATTTATAAGTTTTTGGCTCTAACTAAGCACTATGATACTAAAGATTTTTTCTCGTCGAGTAAAAAAGCGATGAAAATAAAGTTCTGCATTCAGATAAAAAGTAGAATATATTCACAAAAGTAAACATTTATTCAGTTATTGATAGTTTTACAAAAAAATCATTCAGGAAAAAAATAGAAGTGCAAATAAATTGACTTAACAACATCGATGTAGTTGGTGCATATCGTTTATGACCAAGTATTGACTTCATATTTTTAGATAAATTGAACATTGAGTGTACCATTTATGACAATAAAATAATAGATGTTTTTAATATCCCTATTAATCGGAAATTGAATTAATGACATTTCGCAATTTAGTGTAGGTCACTTCTTCAAAGAATATACAAATCAATAACTAGATTAATATAACACAAGCTCACAAAGTACAGAAAAAAGCAGAATAATTAATGCAATCAAAATAGATCTAGTCATGTTATCTTGATCAAGTTAATTCTGTGTGCAGTTTCATTTACAGGCCATAAATCATATCTATAACCTAATATGTAATTAAATAAAATTCGGGTTTTCAAGAGGTCACACACTTAAACAACAAAAACTTCACTACATATAAGTATGTTAAGTACACAAAATCAACTGCAAAAGTGAGGTCAAACGTTTTAAAAATCTTATTTTCTTACATCAACCATTTTATTACAATCTTATATCAATAAATTTGAATATAAGACACCCGTCAGTACAATAGTATCCAAGTAGCTTATTGTTAAGAAGAAATGATGTATCAGAAATCCAGTTTCAAGTTAAACTTTGATCCAACAGATAACTAGTTTATCCAGTTAAACTGAAAGTATGCCATTCATACTTACTGTTGAAGATCAGTTAACTGGTGATATCTCTTCCTTCCTCAGAAATGATTTTGAACAACTAAGTGAAGACTTTAAGAATCTAGCACTACTTATTCCTGGTAGATTTAGCGGTCTATGTTTTCTGTGTACCTATATATATATCATCACAGTATGAGTAGGTGCTTTGCATCCTCGAGGTGTTAAGTACTTTTCAGGACTAGCAGTAATCTGAAACTGTAGTCACTGTTGGAAATATACTGTTAGAAGCCTAAAAGTTCGTGAATTTGTGTAGGTGCGTGAGTGTTGGTGATCTGACTAATGAGATCAGTATACAAATAATGGAAGTCAGAGTGCCTTGTACAAATCTAGCCTATTTTCGGTGCTTTCATGATGCTAGTCTAGCTGTAAAAGTTCGGGTTCACAACGTACCGGTGAAAGCAATTCTACACTGTGCTCTCGAAACCTGAACTCTCCAATTTGAAAATATTAAGCGGCTCTCTGCGTTGAATTATAGTGATCCCCAAAAACAAGAGACGGTATGGAAATATTGCGAGACGACTTTATGGTCACAGTTCAGAAGATAGTGCAACACAGTAAATCGAGACGTTACCACACACGCCTCAAAATAGAAACCAATTACGACGCTTTTGCAATCCTATTTTACATTCTTTAAAATTGTGTGTGGAAATTCATTAGATGAAAGGATTCTAAATTGTATCATTTATATTTTTAACTAAACTGTCTATCCTATTACACACTGCTCTTTTAAATTGTTTTGTTTATGAACTCTTTTCTTCCAAAGTCTTCCGTTTTCCTCACAAAGTTATTCTTACTTTATGTGGCACATTACATTTCTTTGGTGCAATGGTGTAACCAGATTTTTGTGCGCTCGCATAAATGACTAAATTAAGTGTTGCACTTAGATTACGTACAAACTTATAAATAGTACAATCTACCAGGAGTTAACTCTTTAAAAACAATCAGTAAAATATTCTGATTACTCTACAATAAGGTAATGTATAAGACGTTTTTTTTTATTTTTAAATCAACACATGTACCTTTATGCAATAAATAGCATATTAATCTGTCAGATTAGATTGTATACAAAAATTACGAATAATATCACTATACAATCTTAAAATTGACTGCAGGGATACAGTCCAGTCATGAAACAATTCGGTCACACAAACGATCAGTAGAGCGTTGACTGAGTGAACAAAATACTAGAGTTACATAGTCTAACCTCCCTACATCTACTTTAGCATGGACAGCTAAATTATAGTACCAACGTTCACACGAAAACAAAATGTGACTCACAGCTGAATACTAAAACTTATAAGTAGTAACATAGGAAAGTCACACACACACAAACATTATCAAAGAAATTTTAGAACAAGAAGCATTCAATCAATTCTATCTACGTACATAATTATTACAAAACTCCTATTCAAGTGCCAAAAAGACTTAACAGACTTTCCGAAGAAAGTATATATTTATACCAGGAAAGAAAATACTAGGAATCTGTTAGCATATATACAATATGACATATAAATAGACTACTTTTTGAAGACAAAACGTTGTGAAATGAATAGATAAAATGGGGAAGAAAAAAAGAAATACTAGAGTTTATGCAAATATGAACAATATTAACAAGAGATAATGTACATTTTCTTCCAAAACAAAAGATAATTTTCATGAATAAAAATTATTGGATTGTATTAAACGTAAGTCTAAAGGTGGTGGTTGTACGTTATAGCCTCCTTCTCCACCGACTCCTCTAGTTAAGGTTGTTTCTATTGTCGTCGTTAGTGTATCTGATGGAATATAATGATTATTCATTGATGAGACATGCGTATCTGATATTTTCAGTTCACTACTGATTACAGTCGTGTTAGTGGTATCACTGTGGCTAGTAGTAGTAAAAGAAGTTGACGTTTCGTTTGGACGATAAATAGCATTTTCAGGATAAATTATAACTTCAGGGAATTCCGTTTCGCATTCTTCATCATTATTAGTAAGTAAGAGGTCTGTAAAACTGAAACCTGGTTCAGGATCCCATATTGTATGTGTTGTAAAGAATGTATTATCGGTACATTCATTTGTCGATTCAAAAAACAATGTTGTACAATGCTGTGAAGAACTTAAATCAATTGGATTTACAGTTATTATATCTACAGAGGGATCAAATGATAAATCTATTGCTTCGGTAGCCCCTGTCAACGTAAAATAATGTGTATCAGTAAGATCAAGACCAGAATTTGAATAAAATAAATTTTTAGATGAAAGACCATTGTCAATAATTCGATTAGTTTCTGTAATATATTGTGGTATAATGCTGTTAGATGAATTCACTGTTGATAAAGGTAGCGTTAATGAATCAACTTTTCCTAATTCTGACGAAGATACAGAGGTATATGTCTACAAAAAAGAGAGAGTAAAACGAAAAAAAAGAGAATAACACATTTGAATATCTAAGGAAAAAGTATAGTCAAAATTTAGTATAATACGAGATCTAATAATTTTTTATCTATTTTATTATTACTATAAAAGTTAAACATTTCTAGATGTATATAGAAAGATTCAATCGATATTTTCTTCCAAGTCATCCGAACGAGCTGTGAACTAACTTATCTGCAAGCAGTGCTTACAATAATTGACTACTGACCAAAAGTATTAGTGGAATTATTCAATATAATATCTCTAATACAGTATAGAAATCGCAACATAGAATACGTAACACATGAACAACTTCCCCTTTTCTTATACGTCGCAATATATATATATATATATATATATATATATATATATATATATATATATATATATATATATATATATATATATATATATCCAAAATTAAATGACACATAAAAATCTATACATCAATCAATTAACATGTTTAAGAGTGTAAGGTTTTGATTAGGACAGCTGTTATAATCTAGTCATCGTATAGTGTGTGCTAAATACAGTAATGTAGAGCTCCTTTTTGCGTGCCTGCATTTTAATGTGACTGCGTCTAGTTTCTCCGAAGAATATGCAACGAAAAGATGTGAGCGGAATGAATGGTTTGTATCTGACGAAATATTACATACCAACTGTTTGCAAGATTTCAAATGTCTGTCCACAACCATATCCATGATGAAATTAAAAGTTTCACCACAAACCATACTAACTGCCATTATTACTACACAACACCGAATACATAGTAACCAATCCCATGCTTGCCTGGATTTTATGGCTAACAGAATCTTGTCGATCAAGTTGTGTTGCGACAACTAGCTGATCTGAATCAATAGGAAATCCTCCGTTGTCGCAATAACATCAGCTCCCTTAAAGTTGTGCATAGGCCCCGATGATTAGTGGGAATTATAATGAAACCTAGGTTCAGAGATTCATATCGATTTGATCTGACCAACCAAAAGCATATAGGATTGTTTTAACAGTGTAAAATACAATAAAGATCTAATTCCATAAACTATGAAAATCAGTATACAAGTAAACATGTATGTGACGCATAGTGATACTATTCAGATGAGTAAACCAAAATAAATTTTGTGCCTGTTCTTTCTATTTTAAGGCCATAGTGATAATGCTTCGAGGGCAGTTCAAACCAATAACAACATTTAAATACTGAATTCGTTAACCAATAAATCACCACTATCACATAACTTCAGTGTGATCACATTCTTTTTTCTTGAAACAGCATAAAAGATACATTACATTTAAAATAGTTGTAACTATTTGCAATTTAAACTTCTTTGTCACTGTATAGGCCAAATATTGTTCTTGCGTTTCACAAGAAATCTCAATAATCCACATATACATAGAAAAAACAATAAGAGTGACAAACAACTTTAGGTTATATTGTTTCCACTTAGAAAGACTCCATTTGTTGTTACTTGTCGAAGTTATGGACAGATTTATGTGCTAAACTTTAGGCCGGTATAAGAAATATTTTTTTAACAAAATGAAGATCCATATTTCTAAGCAGTGTAGTGTATCTATAGACACAGAACTCACATAATTTCAACAATGATCTACCTACTTGCATCACTTGTCGCTTCATTTTGTAGCATGATATTTTGTTCTGTTTTCCAAAGTCAGTAACAGTAAACTGTACATACAGGTTGATGTGAAACAATATTGCATTTTGTGAAAATCATTAGAACTCCTTTGCAAAAAATAATACCGGACGTTCCCTACGTAATACTTCTGTGACCAAACAACAAGTAAAGAGTAATTGTTGTTTAGCGATTGACATCCACCAATTCCCTGTCTTTTTTTAGCTTTTAATAATTATCTCACAACTGTAGAACACAATAGAGTCACACGGGTGGTACAAGAATGAATTACAATACTAACTCGTTATTCATATAAAATTAGGAAAAAGTGACATATCAACCCACGACGCAATCGTTGCAAGTCAAGATGATTGAACCACAAATTCAGTTTGCAAGATAGTAGGAATAATTTGCAAATTACCATAAAAGATGTTCTGTGCTATGTGACCTTTAGCCACTTACATTTTTAGAACGGATTGCTGATTGATGTATTGATAAATCTGATTTGTTTATCAAAAGTAAAGATGGATGGTGGCTAGCAGTGGAATCCAGGACGCGCGTTTCATCATATTTGGGACTCATCAGATGGATGTACCTGCATCTCAGAGTTGATGTTAATTCTGGCACTCAAACCCAGTGCCGCTAACTTCAAACGACATCGAGATATCCACTTAGCTACTGGGTCCTCAGAGCTACTAGCTTGCGCAATGGGGCGAAGTTTTAATTCATTTTGTATTGTTTGAATTTTCACATTGATGTTTAGGATTACAATTGATCAGTCTCTTATTGGAATATGTGCATCCTGTCCGGATTGTCTCGATATTGCAACAAGTCGCAAGCATTATAAGCAAAGATGAGTGGTGGCTAGCAGTGGAATCTAGGACGCAACTTAAGTCAATATCGAGGCAATCCACATAGGATGCACATATGCCATTAAGAGACTAATCAATTGAAGTCCTAAACAACATCAATGGGAAGATTCAAATAAACAATACAAAATGAATTTAAAGAATATAGCCATTCAAACTGAACAGTTTTGAACTATAAGATAATTATGGGTGAAATCGAAAGCTTACATGAAATAAAACGGTTTAATGGTAAATCGTATAAACATTTCAAACTGTTACCTTATAATTAGTTTTTCAATGGGTATTTTTCAAAAACTAAAATCTAACCACTGATAGTTGTCAGTAATAAGTAAATGTTAGGCAAAATTTCATTTACCAATTTTGGATGAAGTCAGAATATCGTTAAACAGAATATGATTGTAAATTTTTAGTTGATTATATGTCATCAAAAATGAAGTTTACAACTTCTTCAAGAAACAATAAACTTTTCATTGGGATTTCTATTTCAATACTCACTTTATCGGAATAAACTTGTAGGCATAAAGCTGAATTACATAAATCCACAGCAACATCACTATCATATTCATTTCTTAGTGTAGTAGTAGCAGTACTAGTAGTAGTAGTTGATGTCATTGAAATCACCGTCATCATTGTTGAAGATACAACAGAATCTGACCTTAATAATAAATGATACCTTGGTGTATTAACAATATTTGTTGAAGTATTTGATTCCGTGATAACATTATTATTATTACTTTTATTAAAAGAAACCATAAGATTTGTAGTAACAGGTATTTCTGATGATGTCATAGACGTTGTTAAAACATTATATGGAGTAATAATCATAGGATAAACTGATTCATTTGTAAGTAATAATGATTTAGATTCTGGAGTGAGTGAATTATCAAATGATAAATTAGATGAATCAACTGCGTCTATATCAGTGGTTGAATTAGCGAGCACAAGACTTATAGGTTCTTCACATGTAAGAGTTTTCTGTAATGAAAAACATAAACAAATAAATTATATGTTAAATTGGATCAAGATAGAAAAAATGAAAAAAAAAATACTTCCATATAACTTCATAAATAATATTATTACAACAAGATGTATAATTGTGGAAAGACGCTACTGGGTCAATAACTTCTTCTGCTAACTGACAAAAACTTTATACAAATTTTCCGCCAAGCAATAAAAACTACTGACTCAGTCAAAAAATATAACTGTAGAGTAAATGAAATCAATAAAGATGATGGAATTAGTACAACGTGTTTATAAAATTTATTACATATCACAAACGAAGCTGAGAATGGAATAGAGACATGGAGATTTTATGAAAGTAAGCATTAACGGCATTAATTAGGTAAACCATATGACAAAAGTAGAAGTTATAGATTTACTTAAAACTTTTGCTAGTAAATCAAATAGGCCGGTAAACAGTATGAAAAATTACACAATAGCATATTAGAAATTGAAGTTGCCTAGACAATCGAAAATTGACAAGTGTTTTCTCTTTGTCTAGATATAAGGCAAGTTTAGACTTAAGGAGAGATTTATTTTGATTAAGTACAATAAATCCGAATTCACACTTATCTTGTGATAAGTTTTAACCATTCAGATATGTCACGTTAGATGTTAAATAAATAATTTAATGAAATGATGAATAACTGTGGGATTGTAAAAATCCATTTTTATAATTACAATCATAATGTTCAAACTGTTCCATAACCATTCCATAAGAAATATGTACTACTTTCCATGATTCAATCACGCCACATTTGCAATATTTCTACATTTAATAGATAGATACCTTACTATTTTAGTATTAAGTTTATAAATTTTAACATCATTTTGTCAACAGGAAAAATTTAATGTTACGTACAACTTAAATAAAATTATGTAAACCAAGTTGTTGTTGTTTTATTTTTTTGTTTTTGATAAAATTAACCGAAATGTGAAAAACAAGTTAAATTTGCAAATCAATTTTAAACATACAGATAATTTTAATTTAGACATAACAGATTCATTGATAGAATCATTATTAGTTATAGATTTTTCATTTTTAAAGTTTGTATGATAAGAGCGCATATGTTTTCTAAGTGAACTTGGATCTGTATATGCTCTATGATCATTACATATTTGACAGATATATGGTCTTGGACGAGATTGATTAATTTTATCTTCAATTTGTAAAGCAGATAAACCAGAAGAATTCCAATCACTATAAACATCTTTATACAAACATTGTTTGTCCTGTTCAGATAAATATTTATCTTCAAAATGATGCTTCTTCATACATCTGGATCTTTCTGATGTTCTAGAGTACGCTTGATGACATATTGAACACATATATGGTTTTAAACCTATGAGAATAAAAGTAGATATTCATTAAATGCTGATTAACCGAAATATTTAGAAGACAATTTCCACGACAAACAAATACTACCTAGGGAAGTATTATAATTTTTATCCAATATATGAAAAATCTGGAGCATCAGGGTACCAAAAGTGTATGTGCTACAAAGATAATGATATAAGATTGTAAAAAAATATGAAGCTTAAAGGAAACACAACAAAAATAATAAGTGAGCAAGAATAATATTATAACAGGAGATAAAGTTCAGCCAAAAATACAATCAAAGTAGATTTATTTCAGTCAAGGGAGTTTCTCTTAATCATGTAGAATGTAAAAGAAAACCACAGTAGGATCAATGCCAGCTTCTATTCAGAGCTGTATCTGATAAAGTCACAAGCCACTGAGTCACATCATCACTAGGATCGCAACTTGAGAGTCTGATGGGTCGATAAATCCTAGCCCTATTCTATCCCTCATACAACGGTTATATGACATAAACTGACGTCCCAATGGTTTCCCAACCAGTCATAACATCGATAATCATGAAGCATCTCTAGACCACCGAAACCAATGCTTCAGGGTTCCGAATCTCTGCATTGAGACTAGATGTTAGAGATCCTTCGAGACAATAATGACAGAAGACAGAGAGTGACCGAACATCCTCCGCTAAGGGTAGCTAGGCTTCATAAGCATATATCACAACTGCTCTTATCAACATTTCGTAAGCCCAATCTTTTTCAACCGGATTAAAATCATATTAGTGCATTAAAAGCCATAAGAAAAAGGTGTGTACTGTTGAACAATTTCAAATTTGAACGAACTAACAGTCCACTGTTTCTTAATTTACAATACACTTAGGGTATAAGCCAAACCACTACTAAATCTAACAATCATAAATCAGCCAAATCTGTTTAACCCTTCCTACATAAAATTAACATCCGATTCTCTTATCGTTTTTGATTCAAGGTATAAGCAGTCTATACAGAAATGAAAGCAACCAGGTTATACACTCAGAGCAATATACGATTGAGGTAATTAATTAAGTAACATAATAGTACAAGTAATCTAAACTGGATGACGATAAAGTATGAAGTGTTATAACAACCAAAATGATCATTTCCTTACAGAATCGATCCACGAATTTCAAAATAAATTTCAGAAATAAAGACTATTGGTCAACAGAATGATTAGATGAACATTTATTAGGGGATTTAAGCCAGTACCTATGTACAAATAATCAATCGGTGACCTGACTAATTTAATTTTTCTCCAAAGTAAAGTGATTGTGTATGCGTAAATATTACATACATATTAATATAGAAAGGAGGAGAGTAATAATAGGTGTACAAATAAATAATTACCTGAATGTACATTTGTATGCCTTTTAAGATTTTCTTTTGAACTAAAGCGTTTTCCGCACTGTGAACACGATAGATTTAAATGATTTTTATGTAGAAGTAAATGACGTTTCAAATGAGTCCTTGAACAGATAAAGAATAATGAATGAAATTCACTGTCAAAATTCGTAATTTCTTCATTAATTAAGAGGTCTGTGGAAATTTATTTAAATTTGAGCAAAGTTTCTACCACAGACTAACGAATAAATGATTATATGCTCACCAATGACTGTTTTTGTAACACAAATTTCTCGAACACCTAAAGAGGAGCTATGAATAATACAGTCGATGCTATTGGAAGTGAAATAATTATGCAGCAATAACACTAAACAGTGATCAGAATAGGCCCCTAAATGCCCTGGTATGGCCGAGAGTGGGGAGAGTTAGCTCTCCCTCTTGAGATGCTCTCACGTGGCCATGCGCATATAGCCTCTGTCAGGGAAGTCCTACTCACTGCCTTCTCGTGGCGAGGGTGTTGTCTACGAAAATGAAAGGACGAAAAGCGAATGTCCGGAGCTTTAACCGGATCCTAAACCAATAGTGCACATGGGCTCCAGTATCCTGAGGGAACAAATGGCGTATGAACCAATCGTTGGTCACCGGCTACCATGGGACTGCATCTCCGTACGCTGCCCCACTGCCTTGTGGATCAGACCTTCAAGTCGACGGCTCGTGTGTGGCCCCATATGAAAACCATCTGCTTCGGTTTGGGCACCCGGGCAGTATCACAGCCCTCACACATATCAAATGAGATCTGTGTGGTGCATATGTATTTGGTGCCTCCTTGTACCAATATCTATGTGTTAAAATAAATAAAAATAAAATAGGATCAAAATAAATTAACCAAAAGTAAATAGCTGAATTCCTACTCAACAGCTTGAATGTATTACCATGAAATCTGAGGGCTTTTCTGTCTAATGTCATGAAGAGTAGATTGTGCATACATTTAAGGAATCCCTAGCAGAGTGAAATGGCTATATAATGTTCCATAGTTTCTAACCATACTTTGTACAATATCAATTCATGATAAAAATTATTTTATCTATCATTAGAATAAAATGTCACAAAGTATAAGTAATGATAAATTCTACCGACATAAGAATTTCACAAAGGTAAGGTGAAAGAAAGGAGCTTTGTTGTTGTAGATAGATATAAATAGTTTCAACAGTGAGATACTAGATGAATTAACTCAACCTTCCGAAAGTAAATAAAAGCCAGTCTCAATGGTTAAGTAAATTAGTTTTAGACAGAAGTAAAAAATAGCTATTTTCTATATTACAAAAACACTTATTAATGGATGACATATTCCGTAATTAACTTTCTTCTTTACAGAATCCGGTCGTATTTCAGATGTACATATTATCTTGTTTTCACAGTTGAATGGTATAATTGAGAAGTTTATTTATCGTCCTGGAAACTATCAAAACATCAAAATTGAAAACACTTTTTCTTCAATTCAAAATGTGATGAGTGTAACACACTTGTATTCGACTATAACATGGACCGATTCGAATCAGAAATTATATAAACTTGGTTTTAAAATAAAAGTATTGAATAAAAAATATCTGACAGCTTAGCGATATGATCTACATTCAAGCTGAAAGTGATCATGAAAAACCAAAGATATTATTTGTAACTAATGTGCACACTAAACTTATTAAACCATTGACTACAGGACTATACATAAGTTTTAATTAATATTTTTAAGTTTAACTTTTGTATTGTTGATATCAAGGGCTGAAGAGATGTCATATAGAGATTTGTAATATTTTGCTGTAGACCATGGAACTAACGTCGTTCCATCTGAAACTCATCAGTAACATAATTACAAGGCAGAATAATGTTTCATTAATATTTTATGACAATCACCATCGTTTCTAACGTCAACATAAACTGATTGATCTAGTCCCGAATATCCTCAATAAGAAAGTGCAGACCATTATGAATAAACACGTTGGTAACTATTACGATTCAGAACCCTAGACAATAATGCTCTGGTGTTTGAAGCGATGTATATAAAGTTAAGGTGTTATAGAGAATACATATATTAGGATATCGAAATATGCAGATACAAAATATGTGAATAGAACTAAACATGAAGTCCTCGATCCAATAGAGAGCTCCTATATAGAACATTATGGACCATTTATAGCTATATAGTGATGTCATTGATACAAATAACGATGAAATCGATACTGACAGAGAGAATACCAACGATTAAAAACCGTACAGGGTTTATACATTTTTTTAGAACAATTTGACACTCATTAATTCGCAGAAGATTATTTAAAATATACAAATAGTTACTTACATTTGCTTAAAAGACTGTTTTAGAAGGAATCGCGGACATTGTGGCCAATTGCAGTAAAGTTTATTTTCAGCATGTCTAGATCTTGGTTGCTTTTGATGCTTCCGGCCAACCGATTTCACTGACTTACCAACGTAGGAGGAACAAGGACCAGTACGGTTTTGTCGCTGTAAGGCATTAGGAGAGAAACGAATAAAGCAATACACATGATTACTACTCAGTTTATGAGTTCATGAGTGTATCACGCATAGGATTCAGTTACATTAATTCTCATTCAGTAACTTCTCACAAATAAATAATAATCTATCAAGGTGCATTTTGAAGGGATTAGTATAGTATGCCGATAGTTTTCCATAGAAAATAACACTAGAGAACCACAGAAAACCAAGGAGGATTGAACAGCAATTTAGATCTTAGATTGAAAATCACTAAATACACCCAACTGATTATAGATATATTGTAGTCGTAGCGAAATATGCAACTCCTGTGATCGATTTCACATGGAGTGTATATGCGATGTCAAGAAGTCTCCAACTAGAAAGACACCGCTGTCTAGAGTTTTCTGGTTTTCAACAGTTTTTTTTACATGATATGAATTTAAAAGAGAAGTCATTTTCAAGTTAAACAATAATCTTCAAAATGTATTTGTATACACAAGGTCTATCATTTAAATATTATTTGAAGTGAAAGATAAAATTCCATTCAATTATTTATCACTACTGATAGGATTTGAACTTGAAGATTGGAAAAATACGTTCGTGAGATTATTTAACCCATAAATAAACTGAGAAGTAAAGAGTTAAGATGATTTGTTTGTATAAGGCATTGTTTCTAGTTACTTTTTAAACAAATTTGAATAGAGCATTTGATATTCTTTCAACTTTTATCTAAAAATTAACGTTATCACAACTAAAACTAGTAATGAATAGACTATCTTTACATAAACTTGATTAACAGTTATATCATTTTATATGAAGATCAAAAACATACATGATGGCTAAATGTAGCAATTGGAGGTAAACATGCCTCCGAATCTTCCTGAATAGCCGGTAATTTTTGGGATTCATTTTTTAATACAAATTGTTTACGACATGATAAATCTTGAGGGAGCCCAGGTGAAGCTGTGTAAATATCCCTTCATAGAGAGAAAAATACAAGATAGAATTACATTAGCATAATTTTTAGTTAATGATGTCAGCTTCACTTGAAAAGAAATTAGATTGAGTGTATATCCGATATTATATATTCCAAGAAAGCTTTTGAACAGATAAGAGATTACACGATTATGTATAAAGGATTTCTTAATGGAATAATTCAGATGTAAATAAAATTACTTAAATAAAAATAATGCGAATGTTACGACTAAAAAGTAATTTGTACGTTGATGAGTGTGTAAAAATGTAATATTTGTAGTGTGAAAGAGTAGAATTGAATTTCAGTGTAGGTTGATGGCATGAGATGAGGTTTAGTTACACTAAATATTTTCTCTTTGCTCCTCTGAGATATTTAAACTTGTGTTAATTTAATACGTTTAGTTATTCATTCAACCTGCAAAACTTACTTAAAATGAGCCGTAAAACTTCAGGGACTTAAATTTTTATTTATTGGGACATTAAGAGCAAATCACTATTTTTATTACTAACAATCTACCCAATGATCAAATTAATTTAAAGTTTCACGTCAAACCTCTGTAATAATACTTATGATATCTTGTATATTGTGCGATTCCTATGCATAGTCAGCACTTTAAAACTTTAGTTCCTGTCTTCACAAAAGATTGGCCAAAGGTTACTACAACTGGAAAAGAAAAGTTAATCATTATTCAACATTAAAACTGATATCCTAAAACAAATCATTGAACGATATTGAGTATTAAGGGATCCGCAACTATTGTAAATGAATGTGAAGTTGTGTAACCACCGATGGAAATTCAGTTATTCGCTTGATGGAAAATATGTCCTCGAAACCTAGGGGATTTTCGATGTTTATTTAAATAGATTAATCCAAGTTAAATATAGAGTTAGAATAATCAAAGTAACACGTACAAAATTTATTAACACCATTACAATACTGCATGGAATTATATATATATATATATATATATATATATATATATATATATATATATATATATATATATGCAGAAAAAACATACAACTGATCAAATGCGTATATTGTTCATCGAAATGGAAATTACCTCATGTTCGAGATTAAGTAGATCCTGGAGATTGAAGATCCAGATCGTTTACATCATTATGATAGTTCGGTTTGAATAATTCACACTATAACTAAATTCTCCCTCTATCGTATAAAATAAGACGTAATTAGGAGTGTGACGATAGAATTCATCTAAAGATTAGATTATGACTTTCGTCTGAAATATTTGACGTACCACCTATTTTTATTGGTAAACAGCTATAATAAAGTTTATAAGGAAACTAAAAAGACCTCACTGACCATAAAAGAATCTAGACACATAATATATGCGAGATATGTACTTTGTATTTTAGATATCAAACGGACTTTTTTTCACTTAATGACTGAGTATAAAAGTTTGAAGCACTCAGAACTCGATCGTGAGGTAATAAACTCAAGTCTGGCTCCATCTACTGGTTGGCCGTCTTTAGGTGAGGTCCCATTCTGATTTTTCGGATACACACAATAGGTGCTACAAAATCGCCGATGATTGTATGCTAGTAACCTTCTTATGGTATAGTGACACTTTCTTTGCTATAGAACGAAATTCAACCAGCTTTTTCGGGATCTCTATCTTTGAGAAGTCAAAAACAGAAAAACCACTGAATATATTTTGATGACAACATTAATTAGAATGGTTGCGAAATTACCACAAAAATTATTCACATCTTTTACTTTCAACTAAGATAATAGATGAAATAATATATAATAGTGGAAACAGTCCACTCCACACATTTATGAAATCCCTAATCAATGACTGCGTGTAACCAACAGTCCCACCAATCAGTATCATTTATATGGCTAAATTTACCCAACGAATCAAAAATCTGGCCATTATTCAGTATCACAGATGCTGTACCAATCTTAATGACTTCTAACGACGATAGCATTTAAACCAAATCCTTGAAACTAATTTCAAACTATCTCAGCTGCTAATGTTAGGTAGAATATTCATTGAAGGTTTTTGACATACATCAGTCCAGTATAGCGTACCTTAGTATGTCTTAGCGAACTACGAAGTGTTGAGCTGAGATTGAAAAAGTACTGTCAAAGCTATGTAAAATGAAGAACAGGCTTTTACTAATAAATATCTGCTATCTTGCCTAGAGTTGAAACACTGGAAAACTGAATTTTTTATTTACACCAGCTGAGGTGAAGAAATATATAGACGATCATACGAAGTCCGAAGATGTTTAGGGACCAGCGAAATTTTGTGATGGACACGGTTTTACGGTAGGTAGATGCAAGAAAACGAATTTCAGCAACAATTAGGTTTTTATACTATCACTGCCAGTTCCGAAAAAACTAGAACTGTGGGACTTTTTAGAACAAAGTACTTGAAACACTTTTCACTTCATGAAGCCGTATTTAGAATTAGTATGTTCAGATCACTACTTTAGACAGATAACCACTGCATTAATGTGGTGGCCGAGCTTACCTATCACCGGGAATTAATTGTATTATATTGATATAGATGGCCATTTATCGAAGTCTAAATGCCTGAAGATGGTTTGGAAAGAATTTGTACCATAGCTAGCTTCTCTATAGATGTGCATAATCAGACCCTGAGAACCACACTTTCAGATTTACCACTAACAGTAAGGTTGTCTAGGGATTGAAAACAATTCTTTGAGTACACATGTACTTATCTGGTTTTATAAATCCATGATTCCTGTTATTTTTTCCTCTTTTTTGTCTTTATTATATATGACTATTACGAACATGGACGCCATTAGTCTACTAAAATTTATCTTCAAATATAGTCTTCAAAAACGATGCAAGATGGAATTCCAGAAACCACCAAAAAGAATGAAATACTAAACTTCTGCCAGGCGCACTGAATTCTATCAAATTATCTTCGAAATAAACATAAAACCAATGATCCTATTTGCTCAATCTTATTTAAGTGATACAACTGATTATTTGGATATCTCAGGACTTTTCGTACTGTTCATGTATGTATCTAAGCAGCAACGTTTAGCTGAATTGTCGCCGAAGAAAGTACGTTACTCTTGAGGAGAGTAGCTTGAAATATCAAAACAGAAAATTTTAATTTTTAAACGACTCAGTAGAGCACTGAACCAACACTTTGAGTGAGACAACATTATATCACTATTACTATCATAAAAGCTGTGAAGAAATTGAACTAGAACAAGGCAAATGTTCTGAAGGTTTGTCTCTAGACGCTTTTAACGATAGCTATTAAGTTAAAATATAAATCAACCGGAAACTTGACCGACGTGTACGAGCCAATGTAAGAATGCAATGAGTAGAATGGGTCTGAGGCATCCCATTTTAACATGTGTGTTCTAGGCTGGAAACTAACTCAATCTACTATATTTTCATCAGACGAAAAATACCACACATTTTCAGCAAATTAACCCAATACCTACCTACGTGAGGAAAAAGGAGACAACAGGGACCCCACTTATGATCATTCTACTGTTTGAGAAATGACGGAAATAGTAGTATATTTGTTTATTTATTTATTTGAACACATAAATATTGGTACAGAGGGGCACCAAATATATATGCGCCACACAAAACAATGATAGTTTGAAGAGAAGGAGGAAAGAGAAAAAAAAAGGTAATGAACGTGGGGAATTATAAAAAAAAAGGGAGAGAGAGAGAACAATGGTGGGGGAAACGGAAAGGTACAATCAGAAGAGATCTTTCAGTTAAGGAAGATATAAACACTTTTTATGAAGAAAGTAAGAGGTTACAGCACGATCGCCACTGGCTTCTATTCTTAGCCATATCTGATAACGTCTCTAGCCACTGCGTTACACCGTCTCTCGGACCCCAACCAGGGAGTCGTGAAGGACCAACACAAGCCAGCCCTTTGCAGCTTTCTTTCATACCACGACACCATGTCATATACTGACCACCTCTCCGCTTTTTCCAACCAGTCCCAGAGTCGGCAAATAATGCACGACGTGGAATTCTCTGGGACGACATTCGTAGAACATGTCCAAGCCACCGAAGTCGGTGTTTCAAGATGGTGACACCAATGGAATTATCGTCTCTGTGACCGAACACTCGATGCCGAACCTCTGCATTACTGACATGGTGTTGCCACTGGATGCCAGCAATCCTTCGGAGACAACGATGATCGAACACAGAGAGTCGTCTAACATCCTCAACTCGGAGAGGCCAGGTTTCACAAGCATAGAGCAAAACTGCTCTCACCGTCGCGTTGTAGATCCGACCTTTTACAGCCAGACTAACATCACGAAGGCGCCAAAGATGACCCAGATTGGCATAAGCCGCTCTGGCTTTCACTATACGAGCATTGATCTCATCACTCACACCACCACCAGCACTTATGCAGCTACCTAGATACACGAACTTCTCGACTACTTCAATCTGCTCACCATCCAGAGTGAGTACAGGATTAGAATCCTGCCAGTCTTGTAGAAGTACTTTGCACTTCGAAGGTGCAAAGCACATACCATACCTACGGACATTGATTGCCAACTGATTAAGTGCGGATTGCATAGCTTGGGCATTCTCGCACAGTAAGACAATATCATCCGCATACTCAAGGTCGAGAAGTCTTTCTCCAGGCAACAGATCCACACCATTACTTACATCCGTCAGAGCTGTTTCCAGAATGTCATCGCTGGCAAAGTTGAAGAGGAATGGTGATATTGGGCAACCCTGCCTAACCCCACTGCTCGAATGGAATAACGGAGAAAGGTGGTTGTATGCCCTCACTCTGCCTGAGGTGTTTGTGTATAGGGCTTTTAGGATGTTAATAAACTTCTCAGGCACACCCTTCTTCAATAGACAATCCCAGAGAACAGTTCTGTCCAACGAATCGAAGGCAGCCCTGATATCAAGAAACACTACTATTGTTGGCCTTTGATAAGTATGGCGGTGTTCTAACACTTGGCGGAGGGTGAAGATATGATCAATACATCCTCGACCAGAACGAAACCCAGCCTGCTCCTCGCGAGCCAATCCTTCTCGGGTCCTGAACAACCTACGAAGTATGACGGAAGCCAATAGCTTGGACGCAATCGGAAGTAGACTTATCCCCCGATAGTTGTTACAGGAACAACGTGAACCCTTTTTAAAGATAGGGACAACTATCGACTCATTCCATGACGTTGGTACACTCTCTAGTTCCCAGATCTTTGTAAACAACGTCGTCAGTCCCTTAGTCAAAAAGTCACCACCATCTTTAAAAAGAGCCGGAGGTAAGTCGTCTGGGCCCGGTGATTTGTAACGTTTCAAGAGTTGGAGTTCCTTGCGGACTTCCGCCTCATTTGGTGGATCAGTCGTCACCGGCCATGGAGGGCAGGACAGTCTGACCGATGTTGCCGGAGCAGCAGGCCAGTTGAACTGCCCTTCAAAGAATTCTGCCCATCGTCCAAGACGTCGATGGATGTTAGTGATTGGCGTTCCGTCATCCTCGCAGATTGTTTCGCTCACACCAAACTTCTTGCTGCCAGTGGCTCGGATGAGTTGGAAGAGCTTCCGGTAATTACCAGATGCAGCTGCTGCTTCCAACTCACTGGCACGCTCCGACCACCAGGCTTCTTGGTCCTTACGCAAGCTTTGCCCGATTTCATTACGTAACATCCTTCGTCTGTGGTCAAACTCACGGTCACCCGAAGTAGACCGACGGGCTTCAATCAGTTGTAAGGAACCAGAAGAAACCCAGTGCTTGTAAGCGGGACGTTTCGCAAACCCACAACAGACTTTACCCGCCATTTTCATGGCGTCATGCAATTGCAACCAATGCTCATCTATACTTTTCGGTGGAATGGTAGCTAGCCTAGAAGCTAGCTCGGTTCGGTACTTACTAGCAACAGAAGTTGCAGCCAGCTTGCTAACATCAATCCTTTGGTGGCGGTCACTTCGTTGTCCACTGAAAAGTAAGGTAAGATTGGCGCAGACCAGAGCATGATCAGATTCCAGATAGGTACTCCAAAAGGAGCGGCAGTCTTGTACACAACCACGCCAGCGGTAGCTGATCGCGATGTGATCAATCTGAGTCCAGGCTTGAGATGTAGAAGAGGGACGCCAGGTGGCACATCGGCGATGACTGTGCCGAAAGTTAGTGCTAGCCAGAAACAGGTTGTGGTCTGTGCATATTTGCAGTAGACGTTCCCCGTTATCTGTCCTGCGACCAACGAGTCCCCATCGGCCACCTAAACGACTCTCTTCTGTGCCTAGACGCCCGACCTGAGCATTCAAGTCTCCAGCTAGTACTACAATATCTGTCGAACGCACTTTCTGGAGAAGAACAGTTAGCTGATGGTAGAACTCGTCCTTGATTGCATCCGGGCTGCAATCTGTCGGGGCATAGGCGGAGATGACGAAAAGACATCGTTTCTCACGCCTATTTCTTCTCACTTTGATGGAACTTTCTAATCTAACAGCACATAACCGACTGTTAATGGGGATCCAGTCGACTAGTGCTGCCTCAGCTCTTGCGCTTAGTGCGATACCAACGCCAGTAAGACCAGACGAAGATGCCACAGGGTCCCCGGATAAACGCACATAAAACAAGCTTTTTGAAGTGACAGATGGAGAGTGAACTTGTAGTACTTCACTAGAGTCTTGAATACGGGTCTCGGATAGACAACACACATCAATATTAAGACTTTCCAAAGACATAGCCAGTCCTATCTGTTGTCCGACCTGCATAAGTGTGCGAACGTTGAAGGTAGCCAGTTTGAATGGTGCACGCGGTTTCAGAAAAACTGCTTCAGTACTCATGTTCGGTAGTAACATACAATTTTCAACCAGGCAGTGACTCGGGAACGTATAGATAAAGCTGAATTTTCACCATAGGTGAGCTGCTGTCTAGGTCGAAACGCATATATAAAGTAGGAATAAGAGAGGGTGAATAAATGACGTGGTAGAGTAATAATAATAATAACAATAATAATAATAATAATAATAATAATAATAATAATAATAGTAATAATAATAATAACAATAATAATAATAGTACGAGTTATTTCAATGTTAATCAGATAGAAAGGAATATTTTCCATAAGCAAATTGTTCATCATAGTTTTAGTGAGTGGGCTGGGATACTGCCCGGGTGCCCAGACCGAAGCAGGTGGTTTTCTTAGGGGGCCACACCCCGAGCCTTTGACCTAAAGGTCTAGTCCACAAGGCAGTGGAGCATCGTGAGGAGATGCAGTCCCATGGAAGCCGGTGACCAAAAGTTGGTTCATACGCCATTTGTTCCCGCAGGATACTGGAGCCCATGTGCACCATAGTAGTAACTGAAAAATAATTAGTCAAGCTTGATTCGCAAGATAGCGGAGATGGGAAAAACAACCAAAGAAAATCAGTATGTCAGAACACCGAATTAAAGTTTTCAATTCGTTATGACGGATTCCGTGGGCGCCACTGAACTGAACTATCAGAAAGATTTTATGCCAAAGCTTGCCGCAAAATGCCCTGGTACGACCGAGAGTGCTTTCACATAGCCACGTGCATATGACCACTGCCAGGGAAGTCCTACTCACTGTCTTTTCACAACGGTGTTTATAAAATCGAGAGGACGAAAGTCGAATATCCGGCGCTTTAACCGGGTTAGTGAATGCAGAGGATCTACCTAGGGGGGTTGGAAAACCCTGATTCCAAACAGATGGTGTAAATGGGCTCCAAGATCCTAAGAAAAGTAATGGCGTATGAACCGGTTACCATGGGACTGCATCTCCTTGAGAGGCTCCACTGCCTTGTGGACCAGATCTTTAGATCAAAGGTTCAGGGTGGCCCTAAGGAAATCAACTGCTTCGATTTGGGTACGCGGGCAATATCTTAGCCCTTACACAAATCGAACGACCTACATGGCGTATATCCATTTGGTGCCCCATTGTACCAATGTTTATGTTCAAATAATAAGAATAGCATGAAAGCGACAAGCAAGTTCCAAAGTTCAGTATTGGCTTTTCCATGAGTGACTAAAACTAGTGAACCATCTGTATGCATTAAACAAACATTAAATAGAGCACAACAGACTAGTAATGATGTCGCTTGCAGCAATCACTTAATCGTGAACGATGAGAAGAGTCAAAGAATTCATATTTTTCTGTACACGCGTTTACGTGATTTACCAGAAAGGATGTATCAGTTGTAAAAATGAACATCGCACACGCTTTTGCAAAGTCATGTGGTTGGTGTTCACCAAATATATCAAATTGCTGTAACAGGATGCAAGTCAGGTATACCAGAACTTACTCGTGATGTAAACATTATTTAATGAACAGAAAGATATCAACAAACACCATGCCGAGAAAAACTATTTTATTTTTTGACTAGTGTAATATTCACGGAGCTTTACATTATTTGGAAGAGAAATTGGTCTTTGATTATTGCATTTTGAGTTAACAGCATTTGCACAACTTAACAAATACTTGTAAAGCCGTGGAGACTGATAGTCACCTGAAAACGGGACAATTTGGGGTGGGAAAGTTTCAAATTTCTGAAAAGTTTCGACAAATTTACGAAGATTGAGGACATGTTGCGTATACTTATCACAAAGTTCATCTTTAGACATACTGTTAAACATTGAAGCATACATCTCAAAATGACCATATGAATGATCCTTTTTCACCATTTCATTATGTCTTTTCGGGAAAGGAAGTTCAGGGTTTCCGTCTGCGTACATTAGAAGATTCATTTTCGCGTTTGTACATAACCACGTTAGACCGTTAGGTATCATACCAAAAAAGGAAGATTCCGAAACATCATTTCCTCCACGATAAATCCGGTTCAAGAACAAAAGCAAATGATTCCAGCGTTCAATAACGCGAGAATCGTGCTTTAAAAGCCAACTAATATCCCCCGACTTTTGTAAAATGGGTGACGATTTATTCCCAAAAAGCTTTTCAGCACCTTGGGAGGTTATTGGAAATGACTTGGATATTTGTTCAAAGTCCATACCTTCGTCACCACTCAGCAAGAACATGACCTGCTCCTTTGCCCTCCATGTTAGCACAGACAACTCTACAGGATTACTGGTTCAGTCAAACACCTAGTATTACACCAAACATACTTAGAATACTTCTTTTGAAGCACTAAAAACTTGTGCTTCCGCCTTTCGATTAACTTTGCGTGTCTCAGTGCACTCACTGACTCCTCAAAATTTTCCCCAGCAAATGAGGTTTCGACAAGTTCTGCAGCATCACGATAGACGTTGAACTCGCTAGCTTTTCGAGAACGCTTTGTATGCCTCGAGAAGTAAATGCTACCCCTACATGCTGAAGCACCAGTTGATATGTGAAGGAATGAATTATACAAGATAGATATTCGGCTAACTGTCATCATAAATAATAACTAGATAACGACCGACCATGAAATGTAACGTACATAGTGAAATTTCCTCAAATTCAGACTTTCGTCCAATATATAATAAAATTAAGTAAGGCGATCGTAAACCAAAAACGTTTCTGATGTTATCCTAGTTAATCGCGTTTTTAATGTCTCCGATTATTCATATATCCCAACCATGATGCTTCCAAAAATCTAGTCGTTCATAATAGTCAGTTGGAAGTGCAGTCATCAGTACGTCCGGTTGAACATCGATAGCAGCTTCTCCATTATAGAAAGCCACACGATTTATTGCAGCTGCCAAGAAGACATAGTGTCCTAATTTCTCCGTTCGTTCCATGCATTCTGATTTGCTACCGACAAATGCTTGGCAGCGAATAAATATTCACTTGTTTGCCCCAAAAATTTTTATTTATGCGTGTGTGTAAAAATGTCTATACCTTTGAGTTAACTGCTTGTCTATTCACTCACTGTATTTTGTACAGCATAATTTTAGCTACAATGAGATAGCTGATAAGCCAGTTATATAGTTGATCTAGTTCTTCTTATGATTTAATTCATGAAATACAAGAGTTTTTTAGTACCTTTCCCATTTCAGCTTTTTAATAGGACTATTTGAATGTCATCGGGCACAAGCCAAATCAATCAGCAGTCGGGTCATTTAGTATCGAACGGTTCACCAATCTTTGTCAAAGAAAAGGACAATCAAAACTCATCTGTTGATTGCACGCCGTGAACTGGCCCATTCGATGATGGAGCACTCTGTTTCCTGTGCCTGCTCTAGCTAATATATTCCTGAAATAACGTCATTTGTATTGTACGGTCATGAAAGAAGCTATAGTACCTGGATACGAAGAAAGGGTATTCCACGTTAGATACTTACCTACGGATGTGAATTCGACGTTATATAGTTTTTCCACACCGTTCCTGACCAAAGTCAGTAAGCCCACAACTCTACGTCGCAGATCACCTGCTTTGATGACCTCCAAGTAAAATTTAATAATGGTTAATTACGTATTTAATATAGATGACTTAAATACACACAATCACAAAAGGATTAAAATGTTGACCACTCAGTGAGACCCTTGTTAGTTAGGAGTATCGGTTCATTTTTAGCTTCTAACTTGTCTGCCCTATTTAGTTAGCTGACTTCACACGATCAAATTGTGAGGATCTATAGGATTCAAAGCCATCTCATAATATCCGGTGTGTTACGACCGAATCATATCCGAATCTGCATCGGAACGGTTAAGGTAACTCTGAGTTTGAAGCCGCAAGGTGTTTGGTAAGCCTTTGACCTTAAAAAATGCCTAAGCGGTTGTCATATTTACGCTTCTCAAGACAATTAATGTCCGAAAAATTTTCAAAACACTTGTCTTAAACTAGGTGGCATTGAGCAATTGTTTGATTATAACGTCCTGTTATCGTTATAAGTCATTATCAGAGACATTTGGATTCCCTCACTGCTAAAATTACTGCCATCGGCATGTCTAATATTCATTTCGAAACATTTGGCCGCGTTTTGCTTTTGGTCTAGTTTTTACGACACAATGATACAAAAAAATGAGACGAAACAAATGTTATGTCGTGTTTTACATGCAAGAGTCGTTCATGTGTTCCAGAAATCCTACCCTTCTTCCAGAACGCATTATTTTAGTCCGGCTGTCAAATGGTACTGAAGTTTCGTCCTGACTGCTTCTTATCGGGTGAGGTATCGTAATTGTGGGGATTCTATCGTTCGAGTGTGCCGGAGAAAAGTTAACATTATTAGAATCTATTTTTTAATACGAGGCTTTGAGATGATTGAAGCTGATTCTTTCGTTAGTTCCGTTCTTATCGATGTTATAGTACTCAGATTTACGACAAAGAAAATAAGAGGATCCTTCGCATGTCGTTCTGAGAGGTCATCGAAATGAATTACGATGTGCAAAAACGTATGTAATGTATTGCGGTGCAGGTTGGCTGCGGTCATGTGGAAAAAATGTTAACTGAACACAACAAAATTATACTGCTTTGATGTTTGCTCGAACACCTGGATGAAAAAGCTTGTTCAATGCGTTGAAGACGTTGAGTCGTTAGTTTCGGCAGGATTGGACGACCCCTAACTGTCGATGTGTCACATAGTATAGTTTCCTTACTTGTTCCCATCTATTCTATCCGTAGTTTGACGATAATTGAAATTATTCATGCTGAAGTTTAGTGTCTTTTTTTCAAGAGCTGAGCGAGTTTTAAAATTTCGATTTGAACTGTCGCTAGGCATACCTAACTGCCTAACTGCAGTCGGTTCTGAGTAATTTAGGATGGTCGCCACTTGAATTTTCAAAGTTTGGATGTCTTGAGCATCAAAAGTATGTCAAATATAATCGATTCCAACCTGAAATTTCTGAATGTTTACAACCATGCAGTGTTTTGCAGTCGTTAAACACGACAGCATAACTTTTGTGCTATCAAAAAGTGGAGTCCAATCTCACAGCAGGGTGGAGATGAGTTGTAATTCTGATAACTGCTCAATATATCCCCTAGCTGAACGCCTCTGATTAGCACATCAATAAAATAAAAAAACCTGAACTTTGTAGTAAAGTTTCGTACTTTAAGTCTGGATCACTGAAAATACTGTATAAATTGCAGTTACAGTCAGCCTTGAATGTTATTCAAGACTAAGAAGCTCAGCTATGCAACTCTCCGAAAACTGTTTTTCAAGCCACAAAACTGAGAAGAAAGATGGGACTAGTGGTTTTTAGGATCCTTGTGTATTCCCGAATTTTCTAATTTTTGCTACTCTCTATCGAATGACAATAGAGGTAACGAAATACTAATCAAGGTGTTTGAATGTTTTCTTTTCAATTGAAGATGCCACAGGTATTCGGAGTTTGACAACGCTTCAACCAGTAACACCTTCTAATATGAAGCGCACCCACCAAGTAAAATCAAAAGATAGAAGCGAGGGGATCAAAGATATATTTGATAAGCTATCAATATATCGAGGATCGTTTGCACTAATCTGGCTAGCGATTGCGGCAGATGTTGAGCACGGCGTTCCCACACGTGATCTGGTGCGGATGCTTGACCGAGCGCCTTCAGCTAGATGAGTCCACTAAAACTGTGGTCAGCATTCAATCTCGAAAACTTACAGAGCTATTTGATTTTGGGGAATTATTTACCGCTACAGTTCACTCCCCCCCTAGTGGGGTAGTGATGACCCTGAGACATGGCCAGTCAGAAGTTTAAACCCAACGAGTTTTTCGTTGGTAAACACTTTCTGATAGCTTGCTAGGTTCAGCAGTGTCTGATCGTCTTTCATTATTATAATAGACCACGATGTACAATATAGTAAAAAAAAGGTACAATGCAGATTTTCGTTTCTCGCAACTTCATCGTTCTTTTCATCGTCTTTTCCAGTCGTCCTGGAAAAGAAAAGAAAAATATGTAAGTGCATGTCGGAATACACTCGTACGCGCGTGAAAACACAAAACGGGCGAAGAAAAAGGAAAACAAACTCATGCTCACGTAATGGCGTAGAAAAAGGATTCTTATAATATCATTTTTTGTTTTTTCTATTTTAAAATAAAAAATAATAAAAATATAAGCACATTAAATTCGGGTATTTTTTAAAAAAATATAAAATTATATATAGTACAAGGGAAAATCGAGAGTATATAAAATGTTAACTTGTGTCTTACGTGCAGTAATCGTTCAAATGTTCTGGAAATCTTACTCGTCTTCCAGAACGCGTTGTTTTGAGTTTATTTTCGGATACTGTCCAAGTATCAACGTGTGTGTCTACTGTCGATTGAGGTATTATAAGGGCAGGAGTTGTGTCGTGCGATTGTATTGAATGAAAATAGACGTGAATAGGATTTCCTTCTAAATACGCTGCTTTTAGGCGATCGATGCTGATGCTTTCGTTGGTTCCGTTCTTATCGATTATATAGTACTTAGATTCTCGTTGAAGAACTTTGAAAGGTCCTTCATATGTTGATTCGGGAGGTCGTCGATGCGAGTCTCGACGCACGAAAAAGTGTGTACTATGTCGTAAGTCAGGTTGAACGAAAACATCAGTTGATTGTGGTCGAGTGGAAACAGGTTTAACTGAACGCATTGCGTTTGTAAGCCTGTTCGCGTGGGAGGTTAGCTCCATGTCCATCGAAAAGGATGAAGGATCCACGAACTCTCCTGGAAGTCGAAGGGTCGTACCATAAACGAGTTGAGACGCAGTGTATCCAATGTCAGCTTTCACTGCATTGCGTATGCCTAGTAAGACGAGTGGAAGAGCGTCAGTCCACTGAGCAATGTTTGAGGCTGATAGTGACGCTTTTAGTTGTTGGTGGAAGCGTTCTACTAACCCGTTTGCTTGTGGGTGGTAGGCCGTCGTTCGGAAGCGAGTGATTCCTAATATTGCGGTCAGACAACGGAAAAGTTCAGATTCGAACTGGCGTTCACAATCTGTAGTGACGGTTGTTGGGCAGCCGAAGTTTACTACCCATCGTTCGACGAAAGCGCGGGCCACTGTTTTAGTAGTAATGTACTTGATGGGTACTGCTTCTGGCCATCGAGTAAATCAGTCTACGCAAGTTAAAAGATAAGAATATCCATTTGAATCTGGTAACGGTCCTACCAAATCCAAATGAACATGATCGAAGCGAGCATCGGTAGTTTTAAACGAGCCCAAGGGACATTTGTTATGTCTAATCACCTCAGATTTCTGTCAGCTTACACAGGAGCGTGCCCACTCCCTCACGTCTTTATTCATACCAGGCCAGCAAAACCGTTCTGCTATAAGCTTGATGGTTGCACGAACACCTGGATGAGAAAGTCTGTGAAACGTATTGAAGACGTTGCGATCCCTACCTGTAAATGTGTCACAAAGTAAGGTTTCGTTACCTGTTCCCATATGTTTAATGCGCAGTTTAAGTGATGTTGAGGCCAACTCGTGCTGAAGATCACTGTCTTCTTTTTGAAGTTGGGCGAGTTTTAAAAGGTCGATTCCTTGGGAACTGTTCAAGGAATCTATACGAGACAAGGCGTCTGCGACTACATTGTGTGCTCCAGAAATGTGTCGAA